CCTTGAATTCCATGTCCAAAATCTCTTGGGATGGCGGGGTGGAGGTGGAAAGGGGAGTCGCCCACAATACTGGGTGCAGCCTCGGCAGGGAACATAAATCTATTTTGATTAATATTTTGGGGATGGGGATGGCGGGGTGGAGGTGGAAAGGGGAGTCGCCCACAATACTGGGTGCAGCCTCGGCAGGGAACATAAATCTATTTTGATTAATATTTTGGGGAATCTATCTGATACTGTTTTACTCCGACGTCTTGCAGTTGAGAAATCAGCACTCTATTTCAAGTCTTATTTCTCCTCCTTATTCCTTTCATCAGCATATTCTTTTACACATGCTGTCTCTCTGAAAACAAAACTTCAGCCATCTGTGTCCTTTGATGCTGGGAATAAAGAGCTAAAATATTTAAATATTAGTTACTTTAATTATAGAGCTGTTAAACTTGGCAATGGAAATTTAACCAGCTGGCAGAATAACTACGTGTTATGGTTACTGTCTGATTATTGGTTTGAGTGTTGTTGGGGTAATAAATATGTAGGCACTCTGGTACTGCTATCAGTATAAAAACTTGTATCTGTGTCCCACAGATTGCAGGAGCAAGTCTCTAAAGTATTTTGTCTTGTAGTAGACAAAACCTACTCATATGGTTTTGTAGACTTACTACTCAAATTGAAATGCAGGAAATCTGTCCACTTTAAAAGAAAATGCTGCTCCCCTTATGAAAATGAACTTGGTATGAGGCATATTTGCTTTTGGGAGAGGGCACAGAACAGCCTAAGAGTTATACAGCAAGAATTATTATAAGAACTTAATACTTTCTACTGAATCTTCCTGAGAAAATAGTGAAACTCTGAGACAAAATAAGAGTAAATATGTAGTGGAGGATTTCTGTAACTTTTCTGTCTCGCTCCAAAAGTTCACTACTGTCAATTAGAAGTTTAAAAAACAACAAATAGTCTGGTAGCACTTTAAAGACTAACAAAACATGTAGATGGGTGTCATGAGCTTTCATGGGCACAGCTCACTTCTTCAAATGACTGGCTGTAAGTTTGATTTCCTTCATAAATTCCTAATGACTCAGGAAGGGATTCTGTTATTAGCCTAGCACTTCATAATCTTATAAAAGTACTACTTTTGCTAATGAAGCCACAAAGAGGAAATAGACAAATTACAAAAAGGCACCAGAATTAAATATAAGTAGTACCTGGAGAAGGGGGAAGCATTTTGAATGTCGTCTCATTAACCTTCCACCATCCTTTTAAGACTTGTGTGGTTTCTTAGATGGCACACACAATGTGAGCCATTTAAGAGTTGTATAACTTTGTAACATTGGAGTCTGGATTTATTTGAAAATGTGTTGCTGGATCTTGCTTTTTATCAAATTCTAGCATGGCCATTTAGTCTGAGCATCAGGTTGGAAATATCTATATGCTTCTGAAACAGTACAGGCAAATACCAACAAGATACCTCATTCCTTGAGTTAATAAGCTGAGTATAGTGCAGTAGTTGTCCATCTGTCTGATTTGCATAATTATAATCCTATGGCACAGTTTGTAAGAGTAAGTGCATGCCTGGATGTCCTTTGTTTAAAAATCCACAACCCTTCAATGCATTCTGTGGTGTCTGCCAGCCATATACTTGGCTGCTTTTTTTCAGGGTAGCTAGGTAGGAGTGGATACTGTGAGGGCCTTTGGGGGTGAAAGACACAATATAAATTCACAATATAATTCAATTTTAATTAAAAGCATGAGGTTGAACTTCTCATTTATCAAACATGATTATTAAAGTTTGATTTCATTCCCATTGTTTCAAGTTCTGTGACGAAATGTGGAAGGGTATTGCTGTGCCAGCATAAACTGGCAGAAGTTGGAAAGTACGTTAGAGCAATGTAAATCCACTCAAGTTTCGAAGAACAGGCATTACTCCAAATAAAATGTTAATTTTTGATGTTGAATAAGAGTGATTATTAAAAAACCAAAAAAACCCTCCTCTGTAATTGTTCACTGGGTCTATGTGCAAAGTATTGGGGAAAATGAACTTGGGAGCATGTAGAATTTCCCATAAATAGTTGCTACATGTCCTCATTTGTGCTTAAGAACTGCTTGGTGAAGATGACTCAAAGGGGTTCTGCCATTCACTTGCCATTAGGAATGTTAAATATTGGTTAATTGAATAGTCAATTAACCTCATGTATTCTTATCAGTTACTCAACTGTTCTGTAATCCCTGGGAGTGACATGGCCCCACTCGCAAGGAGTCAACCTCCACTCTTCACTGCTGCCTCTGTATCAAAGACAGTAGCATGGGGTGTCAGCTGAGAGCTGGTCCATGAGGGGAGCCAGTTTAAAAACCAGCTCCCCTTACAGATCAGCTGCTTGTTGCCTCATGCTGCTGCCTCTGATGGAGTTAGTATATAGTGTTTGGGGAAGGGTGCCTATACCATTATTTTTAGATGCCCTCTCTTACTGAATGGAACTCTTGGCCACAGAGAAACAGTAACAGACGGGGGAGGGAAATTGGGGAAATATATTGCAATGCAAGTGAATTCCAGGAAGCAGACTTAGTTCATCCTTAAACTCAAAACAGTCAAAGGCAAAACAATCCCACAGATATAGGGGAGAACATTTAATCTCAGAATACTGCTACATTCAGCCTCTTTGCAAAACTGGTATGAATGTTTGGAGGGATTTTAAGATACAACGTAGAACCTTTAAAATCTCTTCACTAGCAGCAGTTG